CGCGTCGAGAGCGCATTGCGTCTTCGTCTGCTTGGCTGGAGATTCTTCGCAGCGGCGAGGCCGATCTGATGCCGCTCGGCCAGTGCCTGATGCGCTACGTTACTTCGTATGCCTGGGCCGCAGACGATCTCTGATCTCGATCTTTTCTGGCCCAGTCCCACGGGTCCTTCCACTCGGGCGATCCATCGTGCGCCTGGAGATTCGAAAGGCCTCTCCACACGCAGTGCCCTGAGGCTTTTTGGGCAGGTCGTCCAGGGCGCAGGAAACATTGCATATTCTCGACGCCGCAGGGGGTGCGCACGGGGCGGTGTCCGTGCGCGGCCGCTATCCGGGACGGTCGTCCAGGGCATAGCAGGCATGGCACATTCTCGACATCATGGGGGTGCGCAGGGGGGGGCTCTCAGCGCGGCCTTTATCCGAGCCGGTCGTCCAGGGCAAAGCAGGCATGGCATATTATCGACACCATATATGGGGGTGCACACGGGGTGGCGTCCGAGTGCGGCCGCTATCCGTGACGGTCGCCGGGCATAGCAAACATTGCACATTCTCGAGGCCATACAGGGTGCGCAGGGGATGGTCTCTGAGCGCGGCCGCTACCCGAGCCGGTCGTCCAGGGCATAGCAGGCGTGAAACATTCTCGGCAACATAGTGGGGGGGGGGCGCAGGGCGCGGTGTGTGAGCGTGGGCCCTATCCGAGCGGGTCGTCCAGGGAATAGCAGGCGTGCCATTTTCTCGACGCCATGGGGGGGTTGCAGGTCGTGGTTTCTGGGCGCGGCCGCTATCCGAACCGGTCGTCCAGGGCGCAGCATGCGTGGCACGCTTTCGTAACATTAGAGGGTCCGCAGGTGGTGGTCTTTGAGCGCGACCGCTATCCGAGCCGGTCGTCCAGGGCGTACCAGGGGCGGCGCTTTCTCGACACCCTAAGGGGTGCGCAGGGAACGGCCACCCACATAATTCTCACATGCTTCACTTCAGTTGCCATCACCCCGGCCATAATATATGTATGTGGGGTCCTTGGTGTAACATTTTCTGTCAGCAGAAAAGCGGACTTAGCACAAAACGAGGGAAAACAACGACAAATTGACACATAGCACCGTTCAGGTCGAGCCCTGTGATGGAGTGGCCATCGACCTCCAGGAGAATCCCACGACAACTTCCCATATGCGAGGAGAGCCGCGAGCTGGCCCAGCCTGTGCGACGATGGCAGGGAAGGGCGGACCAGAAGGACGAGCGAAGTCTCACATACGTCCCCCCCGCGCTCTTCACGACCTCTCGCCAAGAGAGCCCCATGCCACGAGGGCTTCGCGAAGGGCCCGGAGGCTCAGCCAAATAGACTTCCAGACATTTCTACTCTGCTCTCCCCCCCTTTTCCTTTTCCTTTTTCTCCTCCTCCTCCTCCTCCTCCTCCTCCTCCTCCTCCTCCTCCCTCCTCCTCCCTCCTCCTCCTCCTCCTCTCCTCCTCCTCCTCCTCCTCCCTCCCCCCCCCTCCTCCCTCCTCCTCCTCCTCCTCTTCTTCCTCCTCCTCCTCCTCCTCCCCCTCCTCCTCCTCCTCCTCCTTCTCCTTCTCCTCTTCTCATCATCCGAAAGAGCGTGTTCTACCGCTGCTGGCGGAAAACCGGGGGGGGGGGCCACTATACCTTCCGGTTCGAACCCCCCCCCTCCGGAAAACCAGGGGGGTCACTACCGGTTCGAACCCCTCCCCCCCTTTCCCATTCCATGATGAAAAGGGGGGGGGTCACTACCGGTTCGACCCCCCCCCCTCGAAAACCGGGTGGGGTCACTACCGGTTCGACCCCCCCTTTCCTTCGAAAACCAGGGGGGTGTTCACTACCGGTTCGAACCCCCCACCCTTCGCCGCCGGGCTGGGGAGAGTGGGGACATCGACATATTGGTGGGGGCACTGGTGGGGACTGCGGGGACAGGTGGGACAGTGGGGACAGTGGGACAGTGGTGTGGGGACAGTGGGAATGTGGTGGAAACAGTGGGACAGTGGAGGGTACAGTGGTGGTGGGGACAGTGGTGAGGGCGGTGGCGAGGACGGCGGTGGGACAATGGGACAGAGGTACAGTGGGGACAGTGGTGGGGACAGTGGTGGGGACAGTGGGACAGCTCAGTGGGACAGCGGAGGAGACAGTGGGACAGTGGGGACAGTGGGGACAATCGGGCAGTGGTTGGGGCCGTGGAGAAAGTGGGGAGAGTGGACCGTGGTGCGAACAGTGGTGGGGACAGTGGGGACAGTGCGACAGTGGTGGGGGCACTGATGGGGACAGTAGGGACGGTGGTGGAACCAGTGGGGACAGTGGTGGTGAGGACAGTGGTGCTGGGGACAGCAGTGGGGGATGTGGTGCGGACGCTGGTAGGGACCGGGAGTCGTTTGCTGGCAGTGAGCGTGCGGGGGATGAGGGGTTCGAACCGGTAGAGACCCCCCTCGGTTTTCGAGGGGGGGGGTTCGAACCGGTGGTGGGGATTTTCGGAGGTGGGGTGGGGGGGGGTCCAGCAGGGGGGGGGGGGGATTTTCGGAGGTGGGGGGGGGGGGGGGGGGCGACCCCAGGAATCCGGAAGAAGAAGGGGGGAAACTTTCCAAAGTAAAGCGGCGGTGGATCACGCTCTTTCCATCATCCTCATCCTCGTCCTCATTCTCATCCTCACCTTCATCCTCCCCCCGCGCCCCAGTTTTTCGTAGTCGGCGAGGCAGACGAATTACACCAGCGCAGAGCGATCGGATCGGATCGACCGAGACGCGAATCGGCCAGCGTGCAGGAGGGGAGGGTCAAGACAGGCATGGCGGCCGCGGAGGACGGGATGAGGCGGAGGGCACTCAGAGGCGGAAGATTTCCATGCCGGGCCGGCGCGGCCAGCAGCGGCAGCGGAGGCCGTGTTGGTAAGACACGCAGGATGGAATCCCGACCTCCAGGAGGATCCCCTGGACAATCTTCATGTGCGAGGGGGCCGCGAGCCTGCCCAATCAGTGCGAGGAGGGCTGGACACGGCAGCTCAATCTGACAGGCACGTGCGCCTTGCCACCGCATGCACCTGAGCGTCCAGGACACCCTCCGCCACAGCATCCTCGCCACGCTCCGCTTGGGGCCTCCCAGCGTTTTCTGCACCAGCCCTCGCCGAGCCACGTGAGTCGGGGTCCTTCTGGTTGCCACCATGGGAGTCCGTGCTGCTCAGGTCCCTCGATGGGCTCTCATACGGCGCTCCTCGCGCGTGCCGGCGCCACTGGGGCCCCACGGGGGCTTCCATCCTACTGTGCCAGTTCCCTCTCGAGCTGTCCCCCCAAGCCTTCAGCTGGGTAGTCGAAGGCCAGACTGTCAGATTGGATTGGGCCCCAAGGGCCAATCTGGCAGGGCCAAACTGGATGATTTGGGTTATTCGCCAGACTGGATTCGCGTTGGCTCCCTCGCCAGATTGCCCCCGTGTGCCAGATTGGGCCTGCCAGATTGGCTTCGACTACCCAGTTCGGGGACCTGCCGAGAGGCCAAGAGGCCTTCAAGAGGCCAACGTCCACAGTGCGCCTTCAGCAACCTGCCAAGAGGCCTCAGGGAATCCCCGCCCTGTGCGACGGGGGCGCCGGCCCGGTATGTTGTGCGTGAGTGGTGGCATGCGGCAGGTCCTTTCTCCGTTGTGGCGATCAGGTTTGCCAGGGAGCCAGGGGAAGAGGCTCACAGCGGAAAGTCAAGGTGGGAGGGACGGGGGACAGGGGGGACGGAGGCGAAGGAGGAGGCGGAGGATGTGGGGAAAAGGAGGAGGGAAGAGGGATGGGCGAGGGAATACTAGATCCCCATCGTGATGACGCCCCGGACGAGCGCACGATGTGCACCCGTTGTGTTCTGACGTTGGCGCGTCCAGCAAAATAACTGAAGCGCGCGCGTTGTCGCAACGAGGACAAAAGGGAACACAGATGATGAAAAAGGGCTGATGGAGGGAGGAGACGGGAGAGGCAGGAGAGGGACAACGAGGAGAGAGGATCAGTTTGTTTTTCTTCGACCATTGCTTTAATCGCTCCCCGCATGCCGTCGCACCATGTTGCCAGATCGGATGCGAATCCATGACAAAATGAAGCATGGGATGTGATAATGTGGACAATCACTCCCTGACTACAATCTATGCGCGCGAAGCGCGCACGTGGTTCAAGTATCAATGCGTGGCCCCACAATGTCGAAATCTCTGCCACACGTTCTCATATGAATATGAGTACGTTTCGATGCCAGGGATTCCAGTACTCTGGCGGATGTTCCGGGACATATGAGCAAGTGCCAACATGACAAGCGTTTAACATGTCCCAGAGTCTCTTGATGGCCTTTTGGGCAGTTGTTGGGGGCATCCTTGGGCCGTCTGGTCTCGTGCTTACTCGGGGCTGCTTCGAGCCATCTCGAGCCAGAATTAAGTCGTCCTGGGGTTCTCTTGACGTTTATTGAGCCGTCTGTGGGCCCAATGTGGCCGAAGGATATGTGGGGGAGATGATGGCGGAGACTCTCTGGAGATCCTTCCTGGACCGTGCCGCCCGCAGTGCTTGCCCAGAGCCTCCTGAGTGTTTCTACGGCCGTCTTGGGTGCCATGGCACTGGGATGCTGAGAAACACGCAGCGAACGTATTGTTTGCAGATGGTTCTGACCCGGGATGCCGTCCGCAGCTATTCCCGACGCTATCAACTCTTTTTATGGCTGCCTTCTTGTGGATCCTCAGGCCATCTTGGCCAGTGGCGAGCGTGTTGGAGGGGGGTATTGGGCTGTTTCTGGCAACGGTTCCGTCCTGGCCAGGTTGCGAGGATTCCGAGAAGATACCGTTCCGCCGTTGTGGTTGCTTTGGGTCTGTTTGGACGCAGCCATCGGACGCCACTCCCTCATCCCTCCCTCTCTCCCCCCTCGCCCCGTTCCTCGTGCTTCACGTCCCTCTCTCTCTCTCACTCTCTCTGTTCGGCTGCACTGCACCGCCTCGGCGGAACTCTCGCGCGGTCCCTGCAGCCAGTGCCTGGTGCCCTGTCCTCGGGTCCCCAGGTGGCGTCGACGCGAAGATGCAGTGCAGAGCTGCTTCTCTCGGGCTCCAGGCCGCGCGGGTTGCTTCCTAATCCCAGGCCTCTGGCGGACTGTTTTTCAGTCCCACTGTTTTTTGGCAGAGTTCGGCCTTGTTGCCCTTTTTCGTCCCTGGGTGCGCCCAGAGAGAGGCCCCGGATGACGCATTGTTCCATTGCGGGCCATTCCTGGGTCCAGGGGTCATCAGAGGTGTGCCCAGATGAAATTATGATTGGAGGAGGGGTCGATATATCTTTGGAGCTCCGCTGATTGAACCAACGCATTCCGTCGGATGTATGGCATTGCCTCCGGGGCAAGGTTGCGCGGGGATAGGCTCGGGGGGGGGAGGCATCGCCCCCCAATCGTTCATTCATCGCCGACAGGGGTCCGTCAGCCACACCCCGCACAGGAACGTTGGCTTTCGCTGACGAGGGCCTATCGCCTATCTGTCGGCGACGTATCCCCGATTCACGGTCGATGCTTTCATCCTCTGAGCTGGCCCCCTGCCTTACACGCCGGTCGTTGAGAGTAGGTGTCTTTGCCCTCCCAGATCCCAGCATCTCCTTCAAGCGCCTCCCTACCCCAAGAATCCATGTGCTTTGATTTGCTGTGTCTCGCTGTTCTCTGGGAGGGCGTGAGCCCCATCCACTTGGTCCGCCTTCCCACGTCACGCTTTTACTACCCACTTCTTCACCGACCGACGTGCAACCCCGCCCCTCACTGCCAGGAGGGAGAGGGGGTCGAAGGCCGCAGGCCTCCCGCAGGGGAGCGCGGAGGCGCCCGCGCTCCGCGCGTGGTGGCCCGGGCTTTGAAGGGCCACTCTCCAGTGCGGCGTCGCGAGGGCGCGACGGGAGCCGCGCGGGGCGCGACGCGCGAGCTTCAGCCCGCGAGGGCCGCCGCGCGGGCGCGAGATTCGCGCGCGGCTCGCGGGATTCGTCGTGGGCAACGTTGACGGCGACGCTCGCTCTAGACCAGAAGCCGCCAGCCTCATAGGGAGGTGGTGGGACGGGCGTTCATGCGTCCTCGGATTGTGCTTGCCAGTGAAGTGTCCTATTTGAAGCGCAGCGTGCGCCTTCGACAGCAACCGCTGAAAGACACGTCTTATTGCGAAGGCCTTACGGCGGGTGCTGTCGACCCTGAAGGGGGACGACGACGACGACGGCGGCGACGGCGACGACGACGACGACGACGACGTCGACGTCGACGACGACGACGACGAAGACGCTGACGTGTGTCAGAGTCCTCAGGGATTCTGTTTGGGATCTCTTCGGAGCGCTCTCGGAGGCCTCTGGGGGGCAGTTTTGGGGGCCCTTTGGGAGCATCGTGGAGGCCTCTTGGGAGCCTCTTTGGAGCCTCTTGGAGCTTCCTGGGGGCCTCTTGGGGGCCTATTGGGGGCCTCTTGGGGGCCTCTTGGGGGCCTCTCTGTCCTCTCTGGTGCGCAGCGCGCGCCTTCGGCAGCAACCGTGGGGGGAAGGCGCGTCTCTTTTGTCTGGCCGACGGCGGGGCGACCGTGCGCGCGCGAGCCGCACCGACCCAGACCCCCTCGCGTGGTGAGAAGTCCATGGCGACTTTGGATCACTGTCGGCCTCGGGGGCCCTTGCACGCGAACTGGCATTCTGGGCCCCGGAGCGGCCAAGAATCCAAGACAAATCGCCGTAAACATGTATTTTGGGCGCTCCGCGCGGGTTTCTTGGATCGGCGCCTGGGGCCCCTGGCGCCGCCTCTGGCGCCGCCCCTGGCGCGCTCCGCGCGCCACGGAGGGGGCTCCATCGCAGATCTAAGAAATCATATATCAGCCGTTTTTCTGTCTCCATTGCAGACGTATTCGCATTCTGGGCCCCGGGGCGGCTAAGAAAGACACGTGGTAAAAAGCTTGTCCTGGAGCAGGGTTCCAGACCTCCGAGTCAAAGGGTGGCTGTGAGACACCGGGAGTTCATGCGATCGGAATGAGTCCCAGCAGAATTTGTTAGGCCGTACAGACCTAGTGTCTCAAACCGTTTTCCTCCAACCGAGGGCCAATGTTTGGAAGAGCGCGCGACGTCGTGAGCCTCAGGAGAAGAGGATATGGAACATGTCCTCCTCCTCCTCCCAAGACCCCCGATCCTCGATCCTCGAGCATTCATCCGAGCCACATGATGAGGGGCACCCTTAGGCGGGGACAGTTTCAGGGGGGGGGGGCATCGACCCCCAATCGCCCAGTCATCGCGAATAGGGGCCCGATAGCCCACGCCGCCCAGATGCGGATTCGCCATCGGGCCCCCGTCACCGATCTATCTGCGATGTATCACCGATTCTACCTCCGTGAGCCAGTCCCCCATAACGTTCCCCTCGACGGCGTGAAGCTCGAGGAAGGAGGATCGAGGTTGCTGAACACTCTGGCACATTTTGTTTCACGCCTCCGGTGGTCTGTGGGGTCACCGTGGCACGTGGCGCGCATGCCACCGTGGCGTGCCACCCTGGGGGGGGGATGATCACCGTGGCGCGCATGCCTAAGCGTGCTGGGCGGGAGGGCGCAGCGGGCGGAGCCCTGCGGAGTATGCCCCCTCCCTCGGGCGAAGGAAAACGATGACCACTACCAAGACGTCACAGGATCTTGTCGACGCCGATCGTGGTCATGGTGCATGCCGGCCGTCGCCGGTTCGAGAGGATGATCCACGAGCTGACGGTGAGCAAGATGGACGGTGACCAAGATCGACACCGACGTTTCCGCGTTCAGTCTTTGTCATGGTCGCCGTTCTTTTCCCCTTCATGTTCCTTCCCAGCCTCCACGCTCCTCTCCTCCCCTCTCGTGTCGGACGAAGGGGGGGGAACAGGGAAGTGGGGTGTACCGACTCTACTGCGTCCACCCGGTTTCGGCCGCGACGCAGGGTTTATATCCCTCGGTGCACTGGCGCTTCTGGCGCCAGGAAAACCAGCTACGCAAGCCGATTCGCAAACATCCTTTTTTCGGGGGTTGCTAGAAGTGCCCCTGGCCCAAGGTGCTCCCAAGATTCTCGTGGTGGCCCAGACGACCTCCAGAGCACCTCCCACGAGGCCCAGAGGGCCCCAGAGGCTCCAGAGTGGAGCGCAAAGCTGGGGGCACCTTTTGCCAAGGACACTTCTAGCAACATCCAGGGGTTTGCGAGGGTCTCTGGCAGGTCCCTGCAGGTCGGAGGAGGTCCCTGGAAGCGCTGGGTGGACCCCCCGGAGGACCATGGCCCATGGGTGTCTCGACGCCTCCTTTTACATGCTGCACAAGTCTCAAAGGAGTCCACATACCTCGATCCTCGATATGATCAGAGTGGAGCAGAAAACAGCATACATATACATTGCAGGAGGTACGCGCGGATCGCTCGGATCGGCGCTGGACCCCCTTACTTGGCGCGCAGAGCGCACCGGTGGCGACGCCAGAGGCGCTGCAAAGGAAGCCCAAGCGCCGATCCAAGAAATCCGCACGGAGGCCCGAAACATTATGGTTGTGCAGTTTTTTCTTCTTCGAGATCTTCATCCTTCTGTCTCCCTCTGCTTCAATCGCATGGGGCTTCCTCCGCGCCCACTCCCCCGTCTGCAGGAGAGGTTTCGCTGGATGGACGACGGGACCATCCAGCATGTGCCGTCTGGGAAGTGGCTCTACGTTGACCCGACGAGTCCGGATGAGGCCGCCAGGAGGGAGGGTTGTTTTGAGGAGAAGGATCGAATAAGCAACAATATCACAAGCGTGTATGTTCAGTGGATTTATCGATAACGCCCACGGCGGATTACCGCGCCCCCTGCTTTTTGGGAGAGCCTACGTGGCCGACCGTTGCGGCCAGAGCTTGGCCAGAGCTCGGCCAAGCTAGCGGCCTCGAGTGTTCAGCGTTCACGGTCTGCCGCTACTGGGCTTCCCCGCTTCAGTCCCGGACTTGCACGCAGTATCTCTCGCGGCGAAGTACAGGGTCTGCCAGTGGGAGGCGGCGTCGGAAGGCGGCCTCCGGGTCGCAGAACGGGCCGCGAGACTCCGCCACGTGCGGCTCTACGCCACGCAGTCGCTCGAGCGCTTGGGCACATGGGCACCCTGGTACAAGCAGGCGTTCCTTCTCCAGCTGGACGCCGCCAGATAGCATTTCGAAGGACGCGGGCTGACGCCCGCGCGCATCGCCTTGGAGACCAGAGCCGGGAACGCGGGTCGTATACGCCGGCTTTGGCAGCGCGCCTGCGTGCGCTTGATCGCCCCTGACCGCTCTCTCGAGCTGCGTGCGTTCCTGCGCGTGCGGCTCTCGAGGTGGGCGTGCGGCCTCCCAGAGGACGTCATGCTGGACCGCGTCATGTCCGCTTTCCCCGCGGTGGCTCGGCTGTGTCCCCCGCGGGCGCTGGCTGCCTGCATCAGGACCCTGTGGAACGGCTGGGCCACGGGCCGCCGGTTCCAGAGGCGCGCCAGTTGTTTTTTTGGATGCACTGCGGGGGATGATTCGATCGAGCATTATGCAGACTGCCCGCATGTGTCCGCAGCCGTGTACCGCGAGCTGGGGCTCGCGCGTCTGGATGCCCCAGAATTGCGACTGGCAGGTTTCATGTTGATGGCCCCGCCGTGCTCCGAGGCGACCGCGCCGGAGCTGCGCCGCCGAGCTCTGGCAACGTGCGGCGTGTATCTCACGCACTGCTGGGCCCGCCACGCAGCCTCCAGCGGGGCACTCGCGTGCCGCAGTGCGCTCAGGCTCAAGCTTCGAGAGCTCGCTGGAGGATCGTAATCCCCTTCCCCTCCGTCCTCTTCCCTTCCTCCGTCCTTCCTTCTCTCCCTCCCCCCTCGTTTGACTCTCCGGCCAGTGCGTGCCTGCTGGATGGAGCGCCGCGCGTGCATGAGCCACGAGGCTCGGCGAGGCAGACCCCTCCTCTCCTCTCCGTCCTCCGTCCTCCGTCCTCCTTCCCTCCCTCCTCCCCTCCTCGTTTGAATCTCCGGCCAGTGCGTCCAGGCCGGCTGGATGGAGCACCGCGCGTGCATGAGCCACGAGGCTCGGCGAGGCAGACCCCTCCTCTCCTCTCCTCCGTCCGCCGTCCTCCTTCCCTCCCTCCTCCCCTCCTCGTTTGAATCTCCGGCCAGCGCGTCCAGGCAAGCTGGATGGTGTGCCGCGAGTGCCTGAGCCACGAGGCTCGGCGAGGCAGACCCCTCCTCTCCTCTCTGTCCTCCGTCCTCCTTCCCCCCCTCCTCCCCTCCTCGTTTGAATCTCCGGCCAGTGCGTCCAGGCCGGATGGATGGAGCGCCGCGCGTGCCTGAGCCACGAGGCTCGGCGAGGCTGACCCCTCCTCTCCTCTCCTCTCCGTCCTCCGTCCTTAGTCCTCCCCTCCCGCCGGCACACGAATGGCATCACGTCCTGGCAGGGCGGCGGTCTGGCCCCGCTGGCACCACCCCGCCGCCGGACGAGTGGGCGAACGCTCGCCGTTCTGTTGTTGGTTGAGGTTCTTCTCACCGCAGTTTTCAAGTCAAATTTCTGGTGGAGGGGGGTTGTTCTGTTCTCGTGGCACGGAGTGCGCCGGGATGGCCACTCCCAGTGGGTACAATTGGCGCTTGAGCCGGCTGCACGTGGGGGTGGGCCACTGATGTGCCGCCCGGTCTCGTTGGCCGCTCTCTCCAGGGAGCCGCTGCTAGCTCGCGCTGCCTTAGCTGGCTTGCCGCCACCACATGGCATGGCCGTGTGGGCATCCTGCAGCTGTTGGGCTGGCTCGCGCCTGTCTGCCGACAGCTTTTCTTTCTATCTTCATCCGCTATCTTCTAGTTGCCATCGGGATGCAACTCTCTGCCTTGCCAGTTCCATTGGGACGGTCCTGTAATTGAATGGCTGTGGAGCTTGATGATTGGTCCTCTGCCCTGAGAAGGACCTGAGTCTCCCGCAATCGCTTTGGAATTTCATCCACCATCAGCCGGTATTATGTCTACTTTTCTCCCTTTGGGTTTGTAAACTCGCTTATGCCAGGGGTTTCAGACAGAGCCCATCGGGTTTGGTAGTGTTGCATTTTGCGAGGCGCTGGCCCACTGTGGTCTGGACTCTGGAGTTTCTGACCTCTGCGAGTGAGTTTAACTTGCCTTCTCGACCAGGCGTGCACTGGCCAGTTCATTGCATTTGCTCGCGATCTTGGCTTGTCTGTCCGCCTTCGTCCCCTCAGCTTTCCTCCTTCTCCTCCAAAATATCGCGCTGGAAAAAAATATTCCCGTACAGATACGGTCTGGGTTGCCGTGGACCATTTGTTCTTGAAGATGTTGGGAGCGTTTGTTCTTGTTTTCAAGATAGACATGTTGTGTTTGTGTGTGGGGCAGTTGTTCCGTTTTGGGGTTGCCGTCTCGCCGTTTTCGGTTCGTTTTGCGGTCCGTTGTTTAAAGTGGTTTGATTTGCTGTTGTTTTCTGTAGCGGTGTTTTTTCCCCAACCATCCTGTGGTGTTGGGTCTTCGTTTTGAAGAGAGGGCCCCGCGTCCATCCTCCTCCTCCTCTCCTCATCCTCCCCCTTTTCCCTCCTCCCCCTCCTCCTCCCGTTCCTCCTCATTTCGTGGCCCCATAGGGAGCTCCACCAAAGGCTCCAATAGGACCACCCGTATGCGTCATCCTCCACCCAGCACAGCGCTTCGTGGCCCCATAGGGAGCTCCACCGAAGGCTCCAGTGGGACCGCCCCCATGCGCCACCCTCCACCCAGCACGCCGCTTCGTGGCCCCATATGGGGGCTCCACCGAAGGCCCCAGTGGGACCGCCCGCATGCGCCATCCACCGCCCAGTACAACGCTTCGTGGCCCCAGAGGGAACTCCACTGAAGGCCCCAATAGGACCACCCGCATGCGTCATCCACCACCCAGCACAGCGCTTCGTGGCCCCATAGGGAGCTCCACCGAAGGCTCCAGTGGGACCGCCCGCATGCGTCATCCACCACCCAGTACAGCGCTTCGTGGCCCCAAAAGGGGCTCCACCGAACGCCCCAATGGGACCGCCCGCATGCGTGAGCAACCACCCAAAATATTTCTTTTTGGCCCCATGAAATGGCTCCACCGAAGGCCCCAGTGGGACCGCCCGCGTGTGTTACCCACCAGCCAGTGCAGCGCTTCGTGACCCCATAGGGAATTCCACCGAAGGCCCTAGGGAAACCGCCCGCATGCGTCATCCACCACCCAGGACACCGCTTCGTGGCCCCATGGGGAGCTCCACCAAAGGCTCCAGTGGAACCGCCCGCATGCGTCATCCCCCACCCAGCACAGCGTTTCGTGGCCCCGTAGGGAGCTCCACCGAAGGCCCCAGTGGGACTGCCCGCGTGCGACATCGACCACCCAGTGCAGCGCTTCGTGGCCCCATAGGGAGCTTCACCGAAGGCTCCAGTGGGACCGCCCGCATGCGCCACCCGCCACCCAGCACACCGCTTCGTGGCCCTATACAGGGTTCCACCGATGGCCCCAGTGGGACCGCCCGCATGCGTCATCCACCGCCCAAAACAACGCTTCGTGGCCCCATAGGGGGTTCCACCGAAGGCCCCAGAAGGACCGCCCGCGTGCGTCATCCACCACTCAGTACAGCGTTTCGTGTCCCCACAGAGAGCTCCACCTAAGGTCTCTGTGGCGGAACTCGCATGGCGGCCCAGTGGCGGAGTTCGCATGGCGGCGACTTTCGATTTCGGGTGGTTGTTCGTCGTATTCGACGCACGTAGGCCGCATTCGGGCCGCGCATCCCAGATGGGAGTCAGCCTGCTCGCTCTCTGTGTTCCGCGCGGCGGGCGACCCGCGCGGCGTCGCCGGGACCCCTTCGAGCGATCAGCGCGCGTCGCGGGGATTCCGTGCGGCGCCGCGCCCGCAGCCTTGGACGTGTGCGTGCACGGGCAAAGAGGAAGAATAAACACAAAGGGAAGGAAGTGGACGCGATCTTCGTGAGAGGCGCGCCGACATGGGCGTCGACATTTATGCACGTAGACCCACGCGCGCGCGGACTCATCCACAATCAGATTCGCTTGCCCTCCGTCTCTCGCATACAGACCTATCGGTTTCGCTCGCGTTGCGTGCCCCGCCACGCATGTCGGCACGCCCTTCGCGCGCTTCGTGGCCCCATAGGGAGCGCGGGCGATGATGAGATTCATAATTGCGGTATTCACAGCTGCGTATGGTTGGGTCCTTCGCCGGGCTAATTCTGCGCAGGGTTGCCGTATTATTCTGAGTTGGGTTCCCGTTTTCTGATTGCGTTGGGCCCGTCGGGTGTCGTGCCTGTTCGGTTTTGGGATGTAGTTCCCAACCGTCCTGTGGTGTTGGGTCCTCGTTTTGAAGTGACAGCTCCCCGCGTCCGTCCTCCTCCTCCTCCTCCTTTCCTCCTCCCCCTCCCCCCTCCTCCCCATGGCTTCCAGCGTTCCACCCACTCAATACAGCGCTTCGTGGCCCCATAGGGGGCTTCACCGAAGGCTCCAGTGGGACCGCCCGCGTGCGTCATCCACCACCCACCACAGCACTTCGTGGCCTCATAGGGGCCTCCACCGAAGGCCCCAGGGGGACCGCCCGCATGCGTCATCCACCACCCAGTACAGCGCGTCGTGGCCCCATCGGGAGCTCCACCGAAGGCCCCAGAAGGACCGCCCGCATGCATCACCCACCACCCAGTACACCGCATCGTGTCCCCACTGGGAGCTCCACCGAAGCCCCATTTGGACCGCCCGTATGCATCATCCACCACCTAGTACAGC